GTAAGTGGGCTCTTTGAAGTCAGGGGACACTGAGATTCAAGGACAGGAGAAAGGTAGAGTCTGGGAGAGAAAGGTTGCTGCAGTGCTGACCTTCCATGAGCCTCTCTGTGCAGCCCCCTGCCCCACAGGGCACTGTGGAAAAATGGCCTGTGAAGGAGCCCTGCATGGTCAGTCTAGGGGTCAGTATTCAACAGGGTTCGTGGCCACAACCAGAACTTGATCTGGGAAAGCTGAGCCACACCAGGATGGACCCAGATCCTGCAGAACACAACAGGCTTCAATGCCAGAGCAAACTCAAGAAAAACACAGATGGGAAAATATTCTGTCACATCACACAGGGAGGCAGAGAGTGACTGGCTGTCAGGAGAATATGATAGTGCTTCAAAGACAGAGGGGAAGTGCCTAACAAGGACAGGGATGGAGGGTGGAGAGGAGGAGGCTGATGAAGTGATGTTAACAAAAACTGATCTGGCTGAATTGGGGTCACAGATACCAGGCTTGGAGGAAGAGCCATGCACACTCAGCAAATGAAGGTGTGTCAGTGACATGGAGTGCCTCTCTTAGTCAAGGCTTCTCTTTGGAGAAAGATCAAGAACACCTCAGAACTATTTATCTTCTGTCAAGTAAAAGATAAGAACAGAGCTATGATCCTAGAGGATAAGTGCATCCTGGACATTCCTGAAAGACCTGACTTTGACCCCCATGTTACAAAGCATCACCTTTTTTTCATCCTTTAACTGAAAGTCCATTCATGGCTGTCTCTGCTCTGTGGGAGAGTTTTAGAGCCTTCAAGTCCTCACACAGCCCTCTAAAATCAAGGCCCTGTCTCATAGAACATAATGTCCAGCCATCACAGCTTACTGCACATGGCATATGCGATTCATAACCTCCATGTTCACGATGAACTATGTACTGAGAACATTTGATGCTGCCTTTTGTATTTTAAGTTTTTCTTCATTTTTCCTTTTTTTTTTTTTAAATTTTAAACAGGGTTTCTCTATTATGTAGCTCTGGCTTTTCGGGAACTGTCTATGTGGACTGGCCTTGAGCTCACAGAGATCCACCTGCCTCAGCCCCTTGAGTGCTGGGATTATGTGTGTGTGCCACTGTGCCTGGCTTCCTTTTGTTTTTGGATGTGCTAATTATATTTTTCTCTGTAGACATGTACAGTGTGAGAAGGTGATCACAATGCCTTTATAGTTCTTCACTTGTAGCTCATGACGAAAGAATGGCTTTTCCTTGTGGTTATCTGTGATTTTCATATTGCTGGGATATTTAAGTAAATGCCATATGAATGTAACTAAGACAGTATTAATGTCCAATATTCACACAACCAGAAATGTTGAAATCAATGTTAAATAAATATGTAGCTACCAATCAGATAACAAGATTAAAACCATATGATGTCGGTTTGCTCATCTGTCAACATTCACGTGTTATCAGTACAATGTTACAGACTCCAACTCAGGTCACCTTGCGCAATTCAGCATGTCAATCATGACACAGTGAAGGATGGGAGTCAGAGCCAATGCTGTAAAGGGGAGGATGTGCTGTAGTTCAGTTGGGTGTACTTCAGATCCCAGAGACCTGAGGAGAGCAGACAGGAGAATGCAGACACGGGATGTTCTCTGTGACTGATGCTCCCTGCAGGCGGAGCCTCTGCCCAAGAGAGATTGAACAGAGGACAGGCAGAGGAAAGTCCTGACATTCCAGTGTCCTGTCAGCTTAAAATAAGAGGAAGAACAAGATGTGTCAGGGCTAATCCTTACCACAGGTGGAAAATGTACAGAAGGGTGGGTGGTGTGAAGGCCATAGGAACTGGCAATGGCAGAGAAAGGTCACCTGAACTTTAAGGAGGAGGTTGCCTGCCTGACTTCTCCCTCTCCCTCTTACATCACAGGCCTAGAGAAGTGTCTGCACATCTATCCCTGCCAGGCAAAGGCAGAGCATCCCATGGGGGACTTGGGAAAAGTCAGTGGTCCCTGCCCAACTCTATGTTCATAATCTGTCTCCTTTAATTCTGCAGGTGTTGAAGAGCCATGGACAAGACTACCTTGTTGGCAACAGGCTGACCAGGGTGGACATTCACCTGCTGGAACTTCTCCTCTATATTGAAGAACTTGACTCCAGCCTTCTGGTCCCTTTCCCCCTGCTGAAGGTGAGATCACCTCAGAGAGGCAGCCACACACACATGCCTCTGAGAAGATAATAATGGCCTGTGGTCTTCCTAGGGCCCATCCTCAGGCCTTCAAACTGAGCTTCTAGACCCTGGTTTCAGGCATGAAAATTATCTTTTGTGTATGGAGATTGGAGGCTGGTAACCCCAGAATATTTTGCCTTTTTCATGAGAAAGATGCAAGAGTTTCCCTGGACCCCTGTTTTTTGGAGGATGCTTCTGGCCTTCATCTTCATCTCAAGTGTCCTGTCTTTGTACACTCAGTGTCTGAGTAGGTCTCTGTCATGCTGATCCCTTTTCTCAGCTCTGACTACTCAACACTGTGCTTCCCTCTCCACAACCCCCACCATGCCGTCCTCCATCCCCTAGTGACCCCATCCTTATCTCCAGGTGTGAAAACTGGCTGTTGCTTGTTCCTGGTTAGACTGAGATTTTCTGTGTCCATTTCCAACTCAGTTTTTTCATGTCTTCAGTTTTCTTTGGTAGTCTCTGCTTTCACACCTGAGAGACAAGGTGTTCTGTGCTCTGCACCACAAAACCAGATCATAGGGTGTGTCAGAGACCAGGGGAGAAGGTAAGTGGGTGTCAAAGGAGGTCTTAGGCAGGTTATTGTGAACTGTGTTTTCAGCTCATGGTCGTATCATATTTCTCCTGTCTACACTGGAGCTGTTGTAAGGATGCAGTTGGTCATATTCTGGGAGGGGCTCAGAGTTTTTTGGATTGTCCACATAAGCCATTCTGAGTCTCAGGCTGTGTTTTCTGGATTACAGGCCCTGAAGAGCAGACTCAGCAGCCTGCCCAATGTGAAGAAGTTCCTACAGCCTGGCAGCCAGAGAAATCTTCCCATTGATGCCAAACAAATCGAAGAGGCTAGGAAGATTTTCAAGTTCTAGGATAGCTGCATTGAGAGAGCCCACAGACACCAGTCTCTGGGGTTTTTAAATGATAAACAGCAATTGTTCATCCTGGTATTTGAGAAAATGAACATGAACAAGGGATATATGTATGGCATGTGTTCAAATTGTTGACCTGGGATTGCAGGATCACATTCTAAGAAGGCAAATAATAATCATTACAAATAAGAGCAAAGGTTGTACAAATGAGGTAAAACTAACTAAAAAGAACACTGTCAATAGAAAAGAAGTGACTAACATTGTTGTAGAATGTGCCACAAAATTTAAAGGTAACATTAATTACAAGACAAAGAAATAAAAATGAAAAAATAGAATAAAAAATAAAGACAAAATTTAAGGTCTAAAAAAAGAGTGCAATTACGGGAGAAGGAATTGGATAACTAGTGTAAAGATATTTTAAAGAAAGACAAAATACCAGAGACAACAAAATTAAATATTTAAAATAGTGAGGGTGAATCTGGAGCACAGGCTCACAAGTTACACGCACTGGTTTTTCTTGGAGAGGACCAGGTTAGGTGCCCAGCATCTCCATGACATCTAACAACCATAGCTCTCACATCTCATAACTCTTCAGCTCCAAAGAACCTGATGTCATCTTCAGACCTCTGGGGTCACTGTTCACCTGTGAGATACATACATATATGTAGTCAAAACACCTCGACATGTAAAATAAAAATTAAAAAATTATTTTATAAGTAAAAACAGAGCAGAAAATATACATTCAAGCACAATAACAATAACAGAAAATATCTTTGAAAAGTTTCTGTCTTTATCCAGGTGTGGGGGCACATGCGTTTAATCCCAGCACTTGGGAAGCAGAGCTACATGCATCTCTGTGAGTTCAAGGCCAGCCTGGTCTACATAGTAACTTCCAGGACAGCTAGAGCTACAGAATAGTGATGCCTGTGTCAAATGAATAAATAAATGATAAATAAATTCTGGCTTTCCCCACTGGAATCTGATGATTTCATCTTTTCATTGCAACCTCAAATCTTTAGGTCCAGTCCTGTCCTGAATATCTTGTGTTGAGGTCTAGCCTGGTGGATCTGTCTAATCCTACTCTCGGCATACCCTCCCTTCCTCTGATCCAGCCTGGGCTCCACACCCATTGCCCTGCTGAGCTCCACTTACACTGTCGTCAACCTCTAGCTCAGGCCAGGATGCACATCTTACACACAAGTCCAGGTTCTCCCCTCAACTGTGGGAGACACAGAGATCCTTGTGGTCACAGAAAAGCACTAGGGGAACTAGGAATGCTAAACACATAGGATTGTCCTATCAAAGAGAATGATGTATTAACTCTTTCCCTTCCAAGGGTCTGGGAATGAATAGGGCTAAGAGCCTGGTGACCTTTGAGCTATCTTAGTATCAAAGACTACACTAGATCCTCTACCAGATCTTCATCATGAGCTGTCAATCTATAGAATCCATCTTTATGGAAGATGTAACATGTACCTTATAAATAATTCTGGTATAGTCATGTCTTAAGTTTTATTGTGTCTACAGGATATAGTTTATGGACAGGAATTTTTCAACTAATTTTGCTGTGCTTAAATAAACTACTCAGAGTCAGACTACTTTCTTCCCTCCCATGGATTGTTGTTGTTTTGTCTGTGGTGGTTGCAGAGACTCCCATACCCAAAACCCCACTACAACCTGAATCCATCCCTTCTGACTGTACCCAACTCCCAATCCCAGCCATTCCTAAAATCCTGTGCTCTATGCCAGACTGCTGTGTCCACATCAGACACAGAACCAACAAAAGTCTACATACCCAGTTCTCATGGAGAACAATACAAGCAATATGAATGATAAAGGCACTATCTTTCCCAAGCCAAATCCAGCAGAACTACAACATGCTCTCCAGTGAGAATGAACCCCAGAACACAGATCTGAAAGAGAACTCACAAATTTCATCAAAGGATTCTGAGTGGTTAGAGAAGAATCAAAGAAACAGCTTAATGAAATCAAAAGAAGAAAATAAATGCTTGGTGATGTCCAACAAATCACAGACATGATGGCCATAATGAAAACAACCCAGGATTTGGAAAACAGATTCAGTAGAGAGAAATATTTAGAGAACTCAAGCTGAAATGAAGGCAGAATTGAAAAACTTAATGATCCAATTAGAAAACTCAGGGGAATGTCTTACATAGAGGATGGGTCAAGAATAAGAGTTCGAGGCCAGCCTGGGCTACCAAGTAAGCTTCAGGAAAGGCGCAAAGCTAAGTAGAGAAACCCTGTCTCGAAAAACCAAAAAAAAGAAAAAAAGAAAAAAAAAAGAAACTGTATTAGTCCTCAAAGATAAAGTAGAGGGGAGAGATCACACAAAGAATATGAAATTAAAAATATATAAAGAAACATCCAGGAAATGTAGGACACCATGAACATTCTAACTCTTAAATATAGGCACAGGTGACAGAGAAGAATCCCAGGCCAATGGCATAGACAATAGCTTCAACAAGATCATAGAAGAATGGTCCTCAAACTTCCCATCGCTGTGGTCATTTAACACAGTTCTTCATTTTGTGGGGACCCCAAACTCTGATGGACAAATTTTTACAAAAAAGGTACTACTTAATTAAAGACACAGAACAATGACGGTCCACCAATAGAAGGGGCTTTCTATACTCTATTTGCTCCAATAGACAGATCTTCTTGACAAAAATAAACTAAAAATGAGAAATGAATGTCATGCATCAAACGGGCTTCTCAGAAATCTACAAAATATTCCACATACACACCATAGACTATACATTCTAGGTCATGGAAATTTCTCTAAATAGACCACATCCTGGGACATGAGCAATCCTAACACCAGCTGTCATCCCAATATAGATGGAGGAAATCTTATGGGCGACACCCATAAATAAAGAGCCATAAGCAATTAACAACTGTTGAGAGAGAGAGAATTTGGCTTTCTCGGGGATGAGTCCCTTGATTGGATCCACATACATGTGGGCAACACTAAACAGATTCAGCAGGCTGTATTCCTGTTTATTTGTTTATATGTGTATGTAACAGTGATTAAAGAAAAGGAGGCTGTGAATTTGGGAGAGAAGTTGGGAGGGGTGGACACTGGACGGACAGTAAGGGGGAAAGAGTGGAGAATGATGTAATTATATTTTAATTAAATTTTAAAAAACCACAACAAGGACTGGTGAGGGTGTCACAAGATGACTCACTGGGGAAAGGCACCGTCTGCCAAACCTACCAATTTAAATCCTTCTTTCCACACAGTGGAAGGAGAGAATCAACTCCACTAAGCTGTCCTCTGACCTTTATAGATGCACTGTGACACACACACGTGTGCACACTTAGATGTCCATTAATAAACGTAAGAAAATGTCTGGTGACAGTGTGAGGAGAGAGGAGCCCTTGTTGACTGCTGGTGTCTTCATCTGGGTTTTGGTGTCAGGGTAATACTGCATCATAAAATGAGCTTGGAAACCTTTCTTCCTTCCATTTCATGGAACAGTTTGGGTAATGTAAGTGTCAATTCTTCTCTAAGTTCTGGTAGACTTCTGCTGTGAATCCATCTGCTTCTGGGCATATTTTAGGTAGGAGACTTTTTTTAATACTGCTTCAATCTTGTTAATGGTTCTGAATCAGTTTAAATACTTTTCTTCTTAGCTTAATTGTGCCACATCACATGCATTTAGAAATTCATCCATTTATTTTAAATTTTTCCATTTATTGGTACAGAGATTTTAAAGTATGTTCTTAAGGTTTTCTGAATTTCATGATATTCTTTCTTGTAAGATTGAAAATCTGTTGTGATTCTCACATGGTTACCTTTGTATTGTGAGTTAATACTTGATTCATGCAATGTCGAATGTTTTCCTTGTTCTCTATGTTTAGTTCTTTAACTAATCGACTTGGAAATTCTTTTCTAATTTTGTCCATTTGGTGTTCTCTGTGTCTCTTGAGTCCAGATTATGTATCTCTGAGTTTGGCAAACTTTTCTCCTATGATTCTATTGAATATATTATTATACCTTTAATGTATTCTTCTTTTTCTAGTGCCAAGATCTGTGAATTTGGTTTTTATCTGCTTAGTCATCTCAAAGATCCAAACAGAACTTCGGTGTCCACGTTTTCTCTTTAGCTGCTTCATCTGTCTTTTGGTGACATTCTATGACTCTTAGCATCTGATAAACAATAAAAGTTACACAGCCAGGACTATGTAGTAGGACCCTGTCCCCAAAAAATAAATAAAAATAAAAGTCAGAAATGTGCAAAGATTCTCTAACTTATGTGTTGGTATTGTGTTCCCCAAAATATTGTGTACCCTAATAAATTTATCTGGGGTCAGAAAAGCCACTAGATACTTAGGTTAGGCAGTGGTAGCACACACATTTAATCCTAGCATTCCAGAGGCAGAAATCCTTCTGTTCAAGGTAACAGACAAGCATGGTGACTTACGCCTTTAATCCCAGAAACCAAGCCTTTAATCCCAGGGAGTGGTGGTAGAAGGCCGATAGGTTTATAAGGTGTGAGGACCAGAAACTAGAAGCTTTTGGCTGGTTAAGCTTTTAGGTTTTGATCAGCACAGTTCAGCTGAGAGCCATTCGGATATGAGGACTCAGAGGCTTCCAGTCTGAGGAAACAAGATCAGCTGAGAAGTTGGCCAGGAGAGGTTAGCTGTGGCTTGTTCTGTCTCACTGATCTTCCAGTGGTCACCCCAATACTTGGCTCCAGGTTTGATTTTATTAATAAGGCCTTTTAGGATTCCTGCTACAAACTTGTTTAATGTGCAATAAAACAAGAAAGCTTCTAGGAGTACCTTCCACCACACATCCTGAGTTTCCCAAGCCTGGCTCAGCCTGTCCCTTTAAGGCCCCACATTAACACTGGTACTTTGACCTCCTGCTTCATAGCATTGGCCACCCTCCACTGGGCTCATTCATTGAACTTCAAGGAGCCCAGATGCTGATGACGTAGGACTTTGAGTTTCAATGTCTTTTAAAATTTGACACACTGTTAGTTTTGGATTGCCTTTTGACTAATAAAATCTATCTTGACTCAGCTACCTCTTTGGTGAAATGCTGCCTGGCCAGTCTCCTCCAGAACATTAATTACTCCCTTGACTCCATGACCTTCTCACTCCCACCTTATGGGCCCAGGAGCTGGGATTCTTAGGATCCGTGGGCATGTGCACCTCCTCTCTCCCAATGCAAACTCTACACACAATGTATCCTAACCCTAGCTGCGCACATTTACATCTCACACTATCAGTGTTAGGAGCTCAGCTTTCCCTCTGAGATAATGGACTCAAATACAAGTCAGTGAGCATGTGTTAGTGATCAGTTGAGCCTTGAACTCAGAGTTCCAAGTTAATCAGGTACAGTTTATGCAACATAAGACATAGAGCCAATTGAACTGATGCACAACAGTGTTAATCCTGTGCCAGACTGGCCATTCTTTATGTTTCATTCTGTGGAGCAGGAGGTTGAAGCTCCACCCTCACACATGCTCTATCACTATCCTCTATCTCAAGTCCTCTTTTTCACCCTTGGCTTATTATTATTATTATTATTATTATTATTATTGTTGTTGTTGTTGTTGTTATTATTATTATTATTATTATTTTCTTGTGTATCTCTGGGTTTGTCTGATGCCTATGGATGCAGGTTCTCATGGAAGCAGAAGAGGGCACTGGATCTCCTGAAGATGGAGGTGTAGGTAGCTGTCAGCCTCCTGGGTGCTGGGATCCAACTCTCATTCTTCTAGAGCAGCAATCTCTCTGGCCCCATTTTAACATTCCTTCCTTTTGTATTTATACTTTGGGGACAGGGTTTTGTCTGCACTCTTAGGTGGCCTGGAACTCCTTATACAGATCAGATTGGCCTTGAATTGACCACTCCTGCTTTCGCTTGCAATGGGCTGAGATTACAGGCATGTGCCACTGTTGGGCATCAGTTTTATTCATCTGGAGAGACAGCTCAATAATAAAGGGCACTTGATCTAGAAGAGAACTCATGTTCATCTTCTAGCATTCACATGGTGTAACTCCAGTTTCAGGGTGTCTGAAGACCTCCTTTGTGGAAAATACACACACTCTGGTACACATGCATATACGCAGGCAAACCACTAGGATATGTGAACTAAAACAAAGAAAGAAAGAGAACAAAAACAAAAATCTCTGGAGGAAAAGCAGAGGTCCTGTCTTGAGAAGAAAGAAATACAAGTCTAGAAAAGGTTTACTATAAAAAGTCTCTAAGAAGATTCAAGCTACATTTTCTTGCATATGACACTCAGGGAAATCATACGTTGAGAGAAAAACAGCATTAACTTGCAACTAATATTTAACTTCAATCAAGTTATCTGAAAATAACAATGAGATTCTTACCTAGGCCAGTAGGTCATTCTTGAGTGACAGGGTCCTTGAGAGAGAGAATGAGGGGATCAGAAGGTAAAGAGAGAGGTAAGGTTGGAATGAGGAGGTCTTACACAAGCTGTGTCCTATGCCAAGGAAGCTTGTTAAAAAGTGCAACATCCTATATACTGTTGTTAGGGGAGGAATGGAACAGAGTCACAGAGACTGTCACATATGGACAGAGTCAAAGAGACTGTCACATATGGACAGAGTCACAGAGACTGTCACATATGGA